CTAAATATTGGTCGGCGCGATTTTCATTTTTTTTGGGGGGAGGGAGGGGGGCAAAAAAGGAAAAAACAAATTATTGTTCAATATCCCCCCCCCCCCGAGCAAATATCGGTCGGCGCGATTTTCAATTTACAAGCACTCTCCTTGTAAAAATCCTGCATACGCCACTGCTCGTATAGATAATGGAACATGAACAGATAATGGAACATGAAAAAAATTAGGCTTAAAGCAAAAGAAAGGGGAAAAGAACGAAAACGAATGAAAGAAGCAAAAAATAATTGATAAGAAATTACGTTGGGTGTACCTGTGGTAGGGCATTGCAGTACTATTACACCTATAAACATGCTATATGCACGCTAGATTACATCGTCTTGTATAACCCCTGAATCCTACCGTCGATATTGTTTATTGATTTGTTTATTTATATATTGGTTTGTTTGTTTGTTTCGACCTATTTTGTGGTTGAATCTTTTCCTCGAAATTACTGAATAAACCTCTCATTCGGTGCCAGGCAACTGCAGCGCGGCCGGTCTCAGCGAACAAACATGCATGCTCGGCGAGCATGACGTCCCATGAAGAGGATTGGGAGTGCACATTTGCGTTCGTTAATCCTAGATCGTTGCTTTTACTTTGCTTTTTGGAAGAAGTTGGATACTTGAAGTTTGTGTGTTTTATCGTTTATGGTGCTCTAAAGATCGCTTGGTTTATGTTCCAGTTCTCGATGGAGTGTAAAATTAAGGAATATTCTAAACAGTTGGTAGGGGTAGAGTATCATATATAATTATACTGAGGAACGTATATTACCCTATTAACGCTACACCAAACCTAAAACACACACTTCAACTCTTAACCCTCTACACCTTTGATATCCCGGAGCAATTTATTGTTGTAGTAGCAAATGTTGAATCGTCCATATGATGTGTAACGCTGTCATCTTGTTATCTTCACACAGGGAATCTGACGAGAAGAACACCCTTTCCGGTAAAAATGGCGTCTACATTCGCTGCCAGGATGATGAAGAGGTCACCATCATAGATTAATGTAATCCTTTATTTAGTTTTCAAGATGAGAATGACCTCGGCAAACGGGAGAATGACGTGCGAGACGATCTACCTGAATAACCCTAGAAAAGTACTTTCACCAAAAAGCGTTGTACAAAACGATACATCGGAATGACGAAGTACTGTAAACATTTAGCAAACACATTCGATAAATAAACGTAAGGGGAATGTCAACATAATATTGTGCATCCAACATATATCATGTTTTGGGTGATGTGATACGTTATTGTCATGTTGGCTGCAATGTTTACACATTTTGAATAAATGACGGAGGAGCTTATCAAAATTGCACATAAACAGTTGTATTAGGTGTTTTTTTTTCTCGACAGTCTTTGCAATTGTCTGTGTCCATTGATATTGCAATTTTACGTTGTTGTTAGTTAGGGTACACTATCTTTGTTTGAATTTTCAGATTCAATTCCCTCACAATCTCTAACAAGAGTTGTTAACCTCTCGATGAAAATCAGTTTCTTTCCCCCACAGTAGAATTATACTTATATACGAATTTTTAAGTGGATAATTTCCATTGACTGAAACAAAACATGGAAGGCTGAAGCAATGCTAAACACAGCGATTAACAGCGTGGAAATACTCTTCAGATCATAGATTTCATGTCCTTTTTCCCCGAAAAAAAATTGTGAATTAAAGTTTACTCTCATAGAATAAAAAAAAAGATGGCATAATTGCCACAGTACAAGAACCGATCGACCGACCACCTTGTTGACAAGGAGAAAACGTATTATCTATCTCTCTATCTCTCCCTCTAACTCCTCTCTCTCTCTCTCCCTCTCTCTCTCACTTTCTCTCTGTCTCTCTCTCTCTCTCTCTCTCACTCTCTCTTTATCTCTCTCTCTCTTTCTCTCCCTCTCTCTCTCTTGGTTATCAATAATCTCTTATCTATACTGACGTGTTATGGCCCTTTATATCAATAGCAGTATTCTGTAAACAATTTTTAGACACTATAACATTTATTACGTATTTATCATAAACTCGTTAAAGGTAATACAAAGTTTTGGTATGGGATCTTGAATTTGGTTCAAATGAACATATTGGAAGCATATGCGATCCTACAATATTCAATGATCGTTTTCGCGGTTGAAATCGGGTTTGAAGTTATAAAATTGTAAATAATAAACTCTTTGTGTTGTATAGCTCCCTCCTAAGGTCAAGATAATAATTAAGCTATAAAACAATGTTTCTTGACTAAAATCGACCGATTAGCTATTCCCGTTTGGAAATTATATATCACAACTACATATTCTGAGATTTTCATGGTCGCAGCTAACATTGTACGACCGTAGGCGCTATTTGAAATTTATCAAAATTTACCGGGAGCACCGGTAAATTTTTATATTCAATTTTTCTCGAGAGCAGAAGTGTTTTAGGGGCTAATTTTTCTAGTGTTTATAATGCATCCACAGGGGTATCCAAATGTATCAAAATGGTAAAGAATCACTATCCACCCAATTTTCAAAATTTCCCAAAACTTTGTATTACCTTTAAAAGTATAACGTATCGTAATAATACAAAACGTAGGGAAGATGGAATGCACCCCCACCCCAAACCGAATTATAAAGAAAAACAAAAAAATTGGGAAATCACCACTATATATTCGGTCACTGTGTGCACTTTCTTGTTATTTTGTAGACAAAATTATTCGATGACAAACTTAAATGTTTTACTATAGATAAACACAATTTTGCTCGCTTGATTTATTCGCTGGCCAAATTTAAAAACTCGAGAGAGAGAGAGAGAGAGAGAGAGAGAGAGAGAGACCCTTACGAGATATGACCTATGCGCTTTTGCAAGTGTTTTCTTTTCCTAAAGTTTAGTTCAACATTGAGATAATGGTCATATATTTCATGTGAGTATATAAATGTCCTTGGGAGGGAAAAGGTGATGGCGTAAATAAAGTTTTACCTTTATTGATTTTGGTACATTTCAGCATTACGACTATTACATGGTAAGCCTATTAAACACCATTTTGACCTTTGTATTTATAATTAACTTGTATAAAGCTCAAGTGTATCAGTACATATTATTGGCATATATTTTTCTGTATTCTCTTGCAATGTACTTTTTTATACACCCATTTGTATAAAAAAACAAGCGATTTAACCAGGGCTGTTTTTGTTTTTTAAATTTGGAAGGTATAAATTATTATAAATTTACGCTTTCATATTTTGTTCATTACAAACGTTCTCGAAACGACTGTCCTAACGCAAAATTATCTCAATATCACTTAATGAAATTAGTTTATAAATAATGATGTATTGATGAAGTACAAAGTCAACAACAAAATTGTACAGAGTGTGATTTTTTACAAGAGTTATATTGGATGCCTATACTTTGAATAACTACGTTGTCGTTTAAGAAAGAGTATGAGTATAGAGGAAAAGGCGGATATTAGTAAACTAGTGAATGATTGAGGAGATAGGCGAGAGATGGAAAGATAAAGAGACACAGAAAGAACACAAGAGCGAAGGAAGAAAATAATGAATGAATGAACGAGTCTATAACTTAATAAATGCATGAATGTATAAATGAATCGATAAATTAATAAAGGTAAGAAAGAACGTATGCCTGCAGGGGCGGTGATACCGGGGTTAGGAGTATGTTTCCCCCACGGCAATCCTAAGGAGGATCTTTAGGTAATATTTTGGTGAAGTAGGTCATTGTTGTTTTTAGAGCTTCATCGTTAGGTAATTATGGATATAAAAAGTTGACGTGTAGTAAGGTAGGATGTAAGGGTCATTTGAACATATTAATTTATGGACATCCACCCCCGGATAACCACCTCTAGTCAACTACCCCTTAGGACAAGTACCCCCTAGCGCAACCACCCTTTAAGACGACTACCCTGCGGGGCAACTACCCCTGGACATCTACCTCTAGACAACTACCCCCTAGGACAACTATCCCCCAGACAACTACCCCCGGACAACTAACCCCAGACAACTACCCCCTACGACAACCATCCTCTAGGACAACTTACCCCGGACAACTGTCCTAGGGGGTAATTGTCCAGTGGGTAGTTATCCTAGGGGGTAGTTGTCTGGGCAGGCGCGGATCCAGGATTTCTTAGGGGAGGGGGCCCAACTTTTCCTCTTTTTTTTTGCTCCCGAAAATTTGAAAAATTGCACCCCCCACCAAAAAAAAAAGTTAAAAATCACGTGTTTTTACACGTTTTTTTCCCCAGGGGGGGGGGGGGGGGCGGGTTCCCTGGCCCCATCCTCCCCACTGAATCCGCTACTGTGTCTGGATGTTAGTTGTCCGGGGGTAGTTGTCCCGGGGGTAGTTGTCCCGGGGGTAGTCGTCTCGGGGTGAAGTCGTACTAGAGGTTGGTTGCCCTAGGAGGTAGTTTTCGAAGGGGGCAGGGGTCCCGATACACTACTTTGCATACTCGAGAGCACTAAGTTCTCTGATCTTAGTATTCATACTTTTGTTTTTACTTGTAATAAGGTTTACGCACAGATTCAAATAATTATTCGGATTATTTGTTGGCGATTTTTTTTCCCAGGGTTCTCTAAACGTCTGGACGAGGACTCCTTGATCACGTTTAAGGGAGTAGGCGTCCCCATTGAATCACTTCAACCGCCGGCCCTTTATTTTCATCGCAACGTTAGCATAATTAGGTACCTGCCCCTAAGGCCACTATTATAAACCCGATTACATTCTCGTTTGTATGTTGCTAAGCTCATAATTATTAGCTTCATAGAATGCTTGTTGAACCTGAAAAGGGGCGGTTCGTTTAAGCCATTTTTTGCATTAATAATTTATCGCGTTATTGGGTCGCAAAACGACATTAGTCAATACTATAAACGGTAAATCCACAAATATTTTAAATGGTTCAGTTGTTCAATAAAAGTGAAATGAGAACTAGAAGGACGTTATTGTAGCGCAACAAAGTCCATGCGTCCTTCTGGAGCTTGGCACTATGCCAGAAGAGGTAACGCAATTTCAAATCACTGTAAAGAAACTTCATGAACTTGTTCATGTTCATTTCGCAAATTACTGCAGGAATATAGTAAGCCTACAACTCTCTGTTACAACGGATCGCCACCCTACAACGTTGTCACTGTACTTTATTTTCTGGATTCTTCTTTGAAGACAAATTTGTGTCGTGTTCATTACTGACTTAATCCCCATCGTCAATCATGATTAGGCTGGATGATATTTTGGTGCAGATCGGCGAGTTCGGGCCTTATCAGAAGAAGGTTTTCGCCATTGTCTGTATGATTGGTTTCACCGCTTCATGGCAATCAATGATCGTCGTTTTCCTAGCCGCATCCGTGGACCACTGGTGTGCGGTGAGTATTGATGTTAATTTTTAAAGGGCAACCCAACCTTATAATAATGTAGCGAAGTAGAGATATCCCCCTTTTAAACCAGATAACCCGCCCCCCCCCCTCTCTCTCTCTCTCTCTCCTATTTCATCATCCTCTCTACTGGAGGTCAACAAACTATAGTAAGATGAAACCTGTTCATTTCCACTTGTCCAAATATTCCCAGAATAGGATGTTTGTAGATAATGAGAATGCCCTTTATGTTATTGGAGTTTAGGTCCATTCACATGAAGGAAAAGATAGGATTAAATCTGTTCGCATAGAAAAGTTACATGACCTATAGTAGACAAAGCCCCTATTCAACCAGTGTTCCCAGAACTTTTAAAACACCTTCCTGTTAAGACTTATTTATTTACCCCAGGATTAGAAACACAGAGAGAGGAAGTTCATGTTGACAATCTTTGATTATAAGCAAACATATAAATTGTCCCTCTGCCTCTGAGAATACCAGTTTGGGCTGGTAGACAAAGCATTTGTTTTCTTGGAAAAGGAGTTAAGTCATCGCAGGAAGTAGTAGCAGGGATATACCCAACTGTCCAATGAGCCTTTGTATTTTCTACTCCTTCCCCTTATTTTTACTTTTGCCCAATCAGAATGTTGGGATAAATTGTTCAGGACGACTGTTCGAGTGTCCATCAAGTGTTATGCCCGCCCAGTCACCTACTGTAATTATAATGAAATAGTGAAGTTTAGGGTAAGAATATTTTGTAGGAGGAGATCTCGGAATCGAGATTGTGAATATGTAATTAGGTATAAAACCCCATCCCTTGCATGAAGTCCTCACTTGGAACCCCCTCACTTGGAAATCCCCACCTGGAACGTCCCCACCGGAACCTTTCTCCTTCTCACCCACCTCTAACTCATCAGTGCTCCAAGATCAAATATATAACATACTTCAAGATTTGGACTTTGGAGAAATATCAGCGAGCAACAGTTTAGCGAGTTCGAGAGGTTGAGCAAATTCTGAAATACACCTTCCGTATTTTAAAGTCAACTCAATGTCAACTCCAGCTCAAGTCATTTGGGAAAGTGTCTGTTCCACATTATAAAAGAACTGTATCCAGTTTAGTCCGAAATCACGTCCAGCTTCGTTCCCGCATACCCGTCAAGTTCCAGTCCCGCCAAGTCAAGTCCAGCTTCGTTCCTGTCATATCCTGCCCAGCTTTGTTCCCGCCAAGTCAAGTTCCTTCAAGTCAAGTTCCTCCAAGTCTCGTCCAAGTTCGTCCCAGTCGCATCCCGTTCCAAGTCAGATTCAGATTCATTCAGATTAATTTTATTGGTCCATTTGGAAATTCATTTGTTGGCGTTACATAGGCACATGAACAATAGAAAATAGAAAATAATATACGCGAATAGATAATATACAGTAGCAAATGTACAATGACAAATTACAAATTCATATGGAAACATGTACAATGACAAATTCATATGGAAACATGTACAATGACAAATTCATATGAAAACATTAAGTCGTTTTTACATAGTGGAATTATATAAGAAAAGTAAAAATAGATAAATAAAAGGACTTCCAACACTATTGAAAATGTACGATTGCGTAGAATTTGGAAGTAGTATTGTTGTTATATTTTATTATTATTATTGTTATCATTATTATCATCATCATTATTATCGTTATCATAATTATTATTGTTACTATTATTATTATTATTATTATTATTATCATCATCATCAACAGTATTTATTGCATGTATCATTCTTTGTCACGGTTTTATAGCTGAATCCTTTCTTCTTTCTTTCCTTCATAAATTAAACGGTATATAACTACAACTTGGAATAACATATGGCATCATAGGGTATTAATTATTTATTTGCTCGTGATACTGGTACATTCGGTTGAAAAGGAAAGGAAAGGAAAGGGTACAATGCAAATTGATGACTAGCGAAGTGGCAAGATACAGGCTTATTCAAATTGACTGGAGTTGTTCATTGTATTTACGAATGGAAAGCGGGACAAAGGAATTAAGGAATCGTGAGGTTCGAGCCTTCATTGATCTGTACCGCTTCCCCGATCGCATTAGGGTAGCATTTTCCAAAATCTGGGATACCTGTTTCAGTATTGTACACACGCATTCCTGTTTCAGATCTGTCACTTCGCCAGTCATCTTGCTAGCATGATTGGATATTCTCTGCAGTTTCTTAAGGTTATCCTTTCTGCACCCACCGTACCAAACCGCACAACTAAAAAGCATTACACTTTCTATTACTGACTTGTAGAATAACATCAGAATGGTTCTGTCTACATGGAACGAATTCAGTTTTCGTAGGAAGTACATTCGTTGTTGAGCCTTTGCATACAGAGATTGGCATTGGTCTTTCCATGAGAGTTCGTTATCAATTATTGTACCAAGGTACTTAAAACTCTTGACACTCTGTATATCCTCTCCTTTAAGCATGATTTTATTTGCTTGACCTTTGTTTGTACGAAAATCGAAAGTCATCTCTTTCGTTTTAGCTATGTTTAGTACCAAGAAATTTTCTTCACACCAATTCTCAAACAAGAATAGCTCCTCCCGATATTGGCGTTCATCGTTGCCTTTGATCATGCCAATGATAGCTGTGTCATCAGCATATTTGACAACTGAGACATTATCATTTGACGAGATACAATCGTTTGTATACATGATAAATAATGGTGCTGACAGCACACAACCCTGGGGGGAACCTGTACTCGTAGTAACGTAATCAGACAGAACATTATGCAATTTTACCCTTTGAATTCTGCCTGTTAGAAAATCATGAAACCAGAGTATTAGAGAGGGTTTTACATTCATAGCGGTAAGCTTATTCATCAAGAGATGGGGCTGTATTGTGTTGAAAGCCGATGAAAAATCGACGAATGTTGTACGAACATAACGACCCAATGTGTCAATATGCTGTGCAACCAAGTGAATTAACAATAACACAGCATCATTAACAGATTTGCGTGGTTGGTAGGCAAATTGTAGAGGATCTATTTCAGGCAGTATCTGTGGGAGAATGTGCTTCTGAAGAATAATGCGTTCAAAACATTTCATCACCAATGAGGTGAGGGATATTGGCCGATAGTCATTGGGTTCAGATGCTTGGGGTGTTTTGGCTGCTGGTATTATTGTCGATGATTTCCAGCACAATGGGACATGGTTTTGGTTCAGAGATTCTTGGAAAAGAGTGACAAAAGGGGTGGCTAATTGCCAGGCACATGTTTTGAGTACTTTCCTACAGATACTGTCCGGTCCCATAGATTTTCTTGGATTAGTCTTTTTGAAGTACCTGACAACATCATTGTACTGACATACAGTGGGTGTATCATTGAACTGTTTCAAAGTATTTACAATCCTATTACTTTCGGCATCAAAACATTTGTCATCAAATCTTGCATAAAACGTATTAAATTCATTGGCTGTATCATAAACAGAGCTAGATTCTGACACTGGTGGAGATTTCTGCTTCTTTTTATAACCTGTCATCGTTTGCATACACTTCCAACCTTCACGTGGATTATTAGATCTGAATTTACTCTCTAATTGTTCTCTATATTTTCCTTTCACATCAACAATTTCTTTCTGAATGCTAAGATTAATGTCCCTGAGTTCATCATCATTCTGGCGTGAGAAAGCTCTGTTTCTTTGCACAAACAAATCCTTCAAATTCTTCCTGACCCATGGTTTTTGGTTTGGGAAAACCTTTATTTCTTTATCCTTAATGTGTAAATCTTTACAGAACAAGATATAACCGTTGACAATTTCGACTGCTTCATCCAAGTTTGAAGCGCTAGAAATAAGTAGATCCCAATCTGTGATGTCATAACATGTCTGAAGGTTTTCAGACGCAACTTTGTCCCACACTTTGATTTTCTTTATCTGAACCTTCTCCCTTTTGATCAATTGCCTATATTTTGGTAAAAGATGCACGGTAAGGTGATCTGACTTGCCAATACTATGACGTACGTTTGCCTTATAAGCGTCCCGTATAGAGCAGTAACATCGATTCAGGACGTTGTTTCCTCGTGTTGCGCAGTCGACAACTTGATGATAGTTCGGTAGGGTATTCTCCAGGCGACAGTGGTTGAAGTCCCCTAACACCATGATTGGTGCGTCAGGGGATGCCGTTGCTAGGGAGTTGACCGTGTCCGCAATCGTAGCTGATGCGCTCTCTGCATCTCCATCGGGAGGGACATATACAAGCAGGATATGGTCTTGTCCGAATTCACGTGGGAGATAGAATGGCCGGAATGATATACATAGAAGTTCAATATTTCGTTCGCATACTTGAGATCTGATAGTAAAGTTTCTACACCACTTTTCATTCATGTAGATACATACCCCGCCGCCTTTCGACTTCTGTGTCGTTGCCTGTGATCTATCCAATCGGATGAGCTGAAAACCGTCGATGTCGATAGCGTCGCTCGGGATAGATGGAGTGAGCCATGTTTCGGTGAAGCATAATAAACAAGACTCCCTAAAATCACAATTGTATCCTGCTAGGCCTCTTATCTCATCGATTTTGTTAGGAATAGATCTGAGATTCGCCATAGTGATAGTCGGTAATGGGGGCTTGTTGCCACGGCGACGCACGCGTTGTCTAACGCCACCTTTCTTCCCTCGTTTACGTCGGCTATGGTTCGGTGCACAACTGACGTTTTCATCTTGGTCTCCTCGCAGGGGCACCCAGGCCGGTAAATCAGGCGGTTGGAACCCCGGAGAATCCACTGTGTTGAGCTCATACATGAACTTGGGTTCATATGAAATCCGGTTTCCATGACCATAACAATAACATTTGGGCGATATAAGTATAGTTATCACGATAGCAGTAATCCATGACACAAACCAGACGTGTACAGACATATTAAAGATGATAGTCCTCGATCGAAATATCAGCGAGCTAAGTGGCCATAATTACTAACTTCATTTCCATTAACCTATCCCTTCCCCTTCCCCATTAGACTGTAACTAATTAAGTAAGAATTAAGTCCCCCTTTAACTCTTAAGAATACTTTGCAATTATATTTATTGCAACATTTATATATAAGTTGTATTATTTCTATTATTCTGATTTGATGGATGAGATTTGTCATTCATATTAATTAAATAATTGCCAAGTGACATCTTAATCTAAATCGTGTCCAAGCACTTTATTTCTGGATTTGTCTCTTTGTATTTTATATTTTAATAATATAATATCATACACTGATACAGTGGTTTATTTGAGGCTAACCCCACCCCTGAGTGGAAGTCATATAGCTAGCGGACCAATACAAAAACCTGATTTCACTCGGAGCTCGATTTTATTATTTCATTATAATAGAAGACGGCGTGGCGTGGGCGTTAGAATAAGTTAATTTGAATGAGAGCATAACAATCACAGAAACAGAATAGCGAAAGTTTGAAATAAATTGGACCAATATTAAGAAAGTTATACGTGTTTGAAATATGAGATCACTACAACTGTGCGAATCTCAAATCGGCAATTTTGTCTATGGATTGTGACGTACTGACAGATATTACTCTCTCGTTTGTCGCGTACACAAATATCACTTATTCTGTTTTTCTGCCAAGTGCCTTCACCTTTGGGGCACTACTCAAAATAAAAAGAACAGACCATCCCGAGTCATACATTTATGAAAAGTTGAAATTTTAATCCTTTTGTGTATAAGAACAAATGGAAAAATTGTACGCCACTACATCACATAGACATTATCAATTCAACCAATTTGAAGACCATCGTATCTGGGACTTTGACTGCTTCATGAAAAATTTCTAGAATTTCAAAAGGTTTAATAAGATTAATAAACATAGTTTCAGAATTATCTTGACCAGGTAGAAAATTAGAAAAATGTGTAGAAGTATCAGGTAAAGTACTTTCAATTTCAGATGCAATTCTACTAAAATATTCATTGCAAGTATTAACTACTTCTTGACCGTCATAGACACATATTCCATGTTTTTCAATAAAAATCGACTTGTACCTTTCCATGAACTGAAGAAAGTAATTAATGTATGATTTTCTAAGTTGCTTCAGTATTATTTGAACATCCTCAAATGATTTACAGTAATAATCCCTCATGCATTTACGTATTGCACAGGTGACATTATTTCTCATTTGAATATACACTTATTTCCGGTATAAGCTTGGATTTTTTATATATTTCTGATACGTTATAGTCTTCTTTTTGCACAATTTTTTGAAGTTTGGAGGCAAACAAAGGCTTAGAAATAGATTTATTCTTACGTTGGGTAAATATTTGTTAAAGTTGTCATTCGAGATACGCATTTAACAATCAAATTCACTATCGACATCCTTGCAAATCCTAATTTATTACTAATAGCATTTCACACAATTTGGCAATTGTTATTATCATTGATGTCATGTTTTTTTAACAGTTTTATATTCGTTTAAATCATCCGCAACTGGAAGTTTGCGAGCTGTTAAATCAGATCTGGACTAGCCTATGAACAAAGTACCATTGTACAAGGAAGGAAAGTGAATAGAATCAGCATTACAAATTAATAAGAAATTACGTTGGGTGTACCTGTGGCAGTATTTACATGTACATCAATAACAATTTCTTATGCACGCTAGCTTACATGGTTTGTTGTAATCCCTGAATTCTACCAATCGATATTTTTTATATATTTGTTTGTTTATTAGTTTGTTTGTGTGTTGTTAGTTTTTACTCAATTCGTTTTTATATTTTTCTCGAAATAAGTAACTAATCCTTTCATCCGATACCAGGTGCCGCAATGGGACGATTTCGACTGCAGCGCCACCGGTCTCAGCGAAGAAACATGCATGCTCGCCATGAAGAACGCAAGCATCCCTGCCAACTACACGAGCGACCACCAACTCGTCTTTGAGCAATGCGTGAAATACAACGTGTCTGGGGAGGCATTCGATCCGGAAATCGACCCGTTCCACGACCCCGGCTGGCCGACATCGCAAGTCATGGAATGCGACAGCGGATGGGTGTACGACAAAAGTCAATACAAATCGTCCATAATAACGGATGTAAGCTACTTCCCTAATATATAAACCCAAACGCGGACAATAGGCAAACTGAATGTAAGAGAGGGGAGTATACTTGTAAGATTATTTTTACAGCGGCATCTTCTCAATTATAAATGATGTCCCTTAAAATTAACTTTGCTCAATATTTTGTTTCAACAGAATGTTTGAAGATTTTTTCCTCTCTAACATATCTAACACGTCCTGTTTATATTTATAACCCTACATGGTACATTAAAGATAAAGACCAGTTATGGTCATGCGTTTGCATTGTGAAAGAAACGTTGTGGAATCGATCAGAAAAGGTTGATCATCTAGCATATAAGTATTGGTGTGTACTGTAAGGTTCTGGAATCATCAAAATGATAAGAAATATGGCCTTGTCTTCGTAAAGTTACAAGCACTGTACACAGAAAGATGTATATGGGACTACGCACACGTGCGCGACACGTGCGTTTATCTCTCACAGGCCAATAGATAAACTAATTTACCAAATATATCAATTAGTAGGTGGTTTCCCGGCAAAAATGTTATCATCATGTATTAGTCATAACATATTCTGTCACATGATTGGCAATAAGAGCTTCCATTTGTATTTTTTAAAATTGGGGCGTTTCCAATACTGGTCTTTATCTTTAAGTGCGTTGTTTCATCCTTTATTTATTTCAAAGAAATTGTATTACATGGATACCAGGACTTTGATCTCATTCCAGACTCAGGGCAGGTCATATAATTTTACAGCACTATAACAAATGTTAATCATTTGGGGTTTATATTTGGTCGTCCATTATTTCGAATAGATTTTAAACTCGTATCAAATGTATACCCGTACAAAGGAATACTACTATTAATTTGCCTATTACTATTTGTTACTATATAATCATCAGTTTGCATTATTTTTGCATTAGTAATTCCTTTTAAAACTCTACCACTGTCCATTATTGATTTCAATTTCTTTATTAACAATTAATAACAATAAAAACCACTCTTTTCTCTACCTCTCTGTAACGAAAGTTTTAAATTTTTGTCTTAACATAGATCAAATAGGTGTATATTTGGCATGTAAAATATCATACTATGTCTACTTATATAGTGATGCTAATTGTAATGAAACCTTAATGGAATACTAACAACACTAATCATTCAACGTGTATCTATCTGTCTTATTATCCCACAAATCTTTTCCATTATCTCGATACAATCTCATTCGAATGCTTGGGCGTTGCCCCATTTTTGTCTCTGTCTGTCTCCATCCTCCCTTTTTCAGTTTCCTCTCTCTCTCTCTCTCTCACTCTCACTCTTTTCGCATCCCTTCTCCCCTTCCTGCCTCTTCCTCTTGTTTAATCTTTAAATAGTATGACCTAGTGTGCGGAGCAGAAGATCAAACCCAAGTATCCCAATCGGTATTCTACGCCGGGTATTTAGCCGGTTCTATCATCAACGGAGTACTGGCCGATATGTGAGCTAAAACGAGCTTATTATTTAAAGTGTGTTGTGTCCATTGTACCCGAGGCAGCTTTTCTATCTAGCTATTTAAGTATCTTCTCCCGGTTCGGAGGTTGATTGCAACATCTCTACATTTCACTCTATCCTCTGTCATTCTGGTGCACCCTTGCAGTTTTAGTCCACTCCAGTTCTTGACATTCTCTTCCCAATTGATTCTGGGTCCCCCTCTCGGTCTACTTTCTTCCACTTTTCCTTTTAATACATCCTTTAAGAGGCTTTGGGGCATTTTAATATGACCAAAGTATTTGATTTTACTCTCCTTAACTAATCCTACTAGTGCAATTTGTTTACCCCCTACCATGTGCAATATCTTTTTGTTGGTTTTCATTCGTTTCCAGGATATTTTCATCATTCTTCTGTAAATCCACATTTCTAAAGATGTTATTCTATTTTCCATGGCTTTGCTTATTGTCCATGTTTCTGCTCCATACAACAGGACGGACCATACATAACAGTTTACTAGTCTCAACCTAAGCGCAAATTTCACCTTTCTATTTGTGAATAATCCTTTCATTGCCAGAAACGTATTCCGAGCAATTTCTATTCTTCTTTTTATTTCTGCTTCGCATCTGGCATCATCATGTCCTAAGTAGATGTAATTACTGACCTGCTCAATGATATGTCCATCGAGTTTTAAACATATTCTAGGCTTATTCTCTATTCTACTAAAAATCATTGACTTAGTTTTCTTGACATTCATGCTTGGACCAAACTCTTCACTTTTGACTTTTACAATACCCAATACATGTTGTAAATCTGCTTCATTTTCTGCGCAAAGTACAATGTCATCGGCATAACGTAAATTATTAATATTTACACCCCCAATACTACACCTTTCATATCTGAAATTTCCCTGAATACCAACTCTGTGCACAAGTTGAACAGAGATGGGGACATTACGCTTCCCTGACGTACTCCTCTTTTGATTTTTGTGTAACCTGTAATTCCATTGTTAATTTTGATGACAGCTGAGAGCTGACAGCTGAAGAGAGAGGCAAAGAGGGAGGGGGAGAGATCGAGAGAGAGAGAGAGAGAGATAGAGAGAGAGATATGGAGAAAGAGAGAGAGATAGATAGGAACGGAAGGTGGACACGGTGGAGGACGTAAAGGAGAGAAGAGGATATAAATAGAGGGAGGGGAAAAAGGAAAAGGAAGGGGAACGAGTAGTACACGACACCTATAGATAAATTGTTTACTATCTATCTGAAAATTAATAGACAAGTTTCGCAACGTGTCCACGTCGGATGCGCAGGTCCCCGCGAAGCGCGCGGACGCGACTGACTCCACCCACCCGCCAGGAACAATCGTATCCCAGCAGGCAAAATGCGAATTGCACACGATATCCGCTACCAGGCTGGCAATACATTAGAGCTCGCCTTACCTAGCAACAACCAACGCACGCAACTCACACCGCCCATCGAAACACAACCACTCCCAACGGTGAATGGAGCCACCCGCATCCAGACACCCCAACAAATTAAAGACTCACTCACCCAACCCAAACACACTATGAAACCGGTCCATTATGTTGCACATTTAAAAAAAACGGCTTTATGATAAATTATGCGTAAAAACAGAGCAAAGGCAAGATTGAGCAGGGGGTCAATTGGCAGGTGTTAGAATTACAAGGAAAATATATAACTGTTTGGCCTTCAAAGGGTTGATTCATCACCAATAGGGTCATCGTTTAACATTAGCATTAAACATATGAATGACATTCGGTACAAAGGATTGTCTGTAACGACAGCGATTGTATATCATTTGGCAAATACTAGTCAAATGTTCACCCCAAATTCTTTTAAGGCCACATTTTCTTCCCGTATTATCCCATCTGGCCCTTCAGATTTAGAAGTTCCCAGTGAATGCAGAGCTTGTTTAACTTCTGGTTCCAGTATACTTGGACCCTCGCTTTCAGTGATTGGAAGTTCTGGACCTCTATCATCATCAAAATAGGTCTTGGATATGTTCTTCCCATCTTTGTTTAATATCATCCTTTTCAAAGAGGGAAGGTGTTTCATCTTTGTTCTTGATACATCCGCTTGCTGCCTTGTTTTTCTTCTTCTTAAAATGCTTGATTTCTCTGTGCGTTTCATTTGTTTGGTTTGTCTTGGAGAAATGCTCAATTTTGAACTATAGGTTGGTCATTATAATGTACATTATTTGCAAAAGGCAGCAACTCTTCCCGAATGCTATTTACAGCAGAACTAATTGTTCGGGGACCAGTCAGGCTTTTATCTCGTTTTTCTTTCTGTGTGTACTTCATGATGTTGCAGACAATGTCAATGGTAATATACATAGTGAGGTACCAAACTCTTCCATGGCCGTTGGCTCCATATGAGCTCATCCGCCCTTAAGTTCTATATGTTATAGATCTGTAGGAAGGCTACACACCCTATGTTATTCGGGTGATGGTTCAGTTGAGCTGTCGCGAGCATCAAGAGAATGGCATGATGAAACAGCAAACACCTTAAACTACGAACTAGCCCTACCGCGAAAAAAAAGCCTGATCTTGCTGCACCGTTCTCTAACAATTTAAGGTACAAGACCAGCTAGAACATCATTAACAGGTGCTCTAGTAAGGCAGGTTATACCCTACTTACTAGTTAGAGCTAGCCATGTATCATCCAACTTGATCTCCCATAACTCTCAAGGCATCTACAACTATCCATCACCCTGCACGTCGCTGGCTGTACTGTCTACGGCATTACAGTAGCGATTGTGAGACAAGAAGCACTCAAAATTGGCCAGACGGAGGCAACTTTTAGGTTGCGTTAATACCTACGCTAATCAATCAATAAGCCTATAAGGTGATGATTGCTTGCGCCAGTAATTCAACTCAGTTTTTGCACTGTTCGTTTCACGCTTGTTTTTTAAAATATGATAGCAGTTTATAAAAGACCACTGTAGTCACTGACGCAGTCCTACGTTAGTAAAAAAAAAAAAAAAAAAAAAAACGCTTCGTGTGCAACAGACATCAGTTCATTGTACTTTATGTACACATCATTCTTTCTCATTTTCTTCCTTTGGTTGTTCATTATACATAAGATGTTACTATTGCTTTAGTTTGACCTGGTATGTGGAATGGAAGATCAGACTCAAATATCCCAATCAGTTTTCTACGGCAGGTTTCCTGGCTGGTTCAATCATCAACGAAACATTGGCGGATATGTAATCAATAGATTTAAAGGGGATCCGTCATGCATGTCCTTGTTTAGCTTGTTGCGGTTTGGGTTCGGGGTTTTCGTGGTGCTGTGGTGCTGTAATTTAACGGTCATTATCCTATTATATTTGAGGGGTTTTAATTTTGCAGTTATGGTGGTCCATTAAATATATCCTTTACGAAATGCCTAATTTTGTACATCTCAATTTTGATTGGATAATTATCTGTAAAATATACATCATTATCTAAAATTTACAACATTGTATATTTTAATTCAGGTTGTATCGTTTCCACCCTACATTTCGTTGAACAAATCGCCCACATGAAGATATATAATGTGTGTGAGTGTGTGTTTGCGTGTGAGTGTGTGTGTGTGTACAAATATGATTATATATACAATACATATATAAAGTCACACTTGTATAGACATACATGTATATAGAAACATATGTAAATCTCTCACAATATTGCAACGTATATAGCTGAAAGGCCATCCCACAAAATACTTCATCTGTACTTTCTGAAGGAAATCAGCCTTCATGTACATATCATTCCTGGCGGTACGTTTGCCTTAAGTACGTCATAAGGTCATGATCATAATGATTACCGTAAGTATGACAATGATCGGCAAAGTTATTTTAATCATCTGCAGCATAGTCTACATTATTTCCATTATCTTCATCGTTATCGTCATCGCCTCCAGCGTTACCTTCGTCATCATTGCTACATGTATTTTCGTCATCATCATTATCATTGTCATCACCATCGCCATCACCACAACCATCATCATCATTACACCACCATCATCATCGTCATCATCATAATTTCATCATCATTTTGTCGTCATCATTACAATCTTCATATATTTCTTTATTATCTTCGTCGTCGTTATTATAACCACAATCGCCTTCGTAATCATATGCCATCATTTTCTCACGGCCGTTGTCATTTAACAAATAGTATCATTGCTTGTAGATTTCAACTTTTGCTTTATACTTGTATGTTTAAAGAGTTGGACGATGGTGGATACTTATGGTATTGATGTTAGTCCGGCTAATCACGGGGATAGCTATAGCATTCTCACCCAACTGGTGGGTCTTCACTGTCCTGCGGTTCTTCCAGGGGTACGCTGCTATCTCTCTTTATATCATCGCCTTCATTGTAGGTAAGAGATTAAAGTGGACATTCAAAGAAAATCATCATGTGTCAAATAATGTAACACTAGAAACTGGTAAGCTAACATGTGGTAATCGTACAAGTTTAAGGTCAGCTACATATCGGTTGATTTATACAAATACAAAAAACCACCTCCATATCATCTAGGATATACGAAAGATTCGCCAGAAAAAGAACGATGTTTTAATGACGTCACATAATGCACAAATACTGCCCAAGCAAACGACATCCCATAAAGAATGAAAATAATTTCAATGCTATTATTTCTCAAATTATAATGAGTTTGGTGTATATAAAAGTAACGGCATTTCACACCATTCAAAAGGTTATATGAAACAGATTTTGATAACTAAAATTCTGTTGTTTGTAAATACACATAATATAGGATTAATTAACAGTAAAAGAAACAAGACTTTCAAATTGAAAAACCCTAGAATAATAGCATGAACGGCTTTTGTTCCCTCTTGAAACGCCGAACTTACCGCGGTGTATGCAGCTGGAAGTACAATGGCGCCTTATTTTGTTTACAAGCGACAGATTCCGTTTTTTTATCGATGCATTTTTCATCAAAATAATACCATGCGCGGGGTTTAGAGTGAGGCAATAGATTGAACATTTAGCCTAACGGTAGTGGAGTGAGAAAAAGAACTGAAGAGAAGATGACAAAACAGGCACTGAAAATGTGTGCGAAAGATGGGACATCGTCTGCTTGTGCAAATCATGTCCATTCTCAGCAGCGATCGGACAGCTCTTCAGTTGCTATGCCGGGGCTGTATTTAAGCGTTTTGTAATTGATAATAATCTTTACCTCGAATGTTTCCAAGCATTAAATTTTGATAAACTTGTCCAATCAAAGTTTCACCTTTGCAATAATGAAAATGAAGTTAGTTTTTAAAATCAAGAAATATCTACTTTGAGAAGAATGTGGTAGCCCTTCTCATCCACCCCCTATAGCGCTCATAGTGCTAAGGCAAATGTTGACTTGTACCTTTAATTCTAAGATTTGACTATGAACCCCTTCTCTAAATAAATAGAAAATGCACATGTCCTTATACAGCGCAAATTCTCAGCTACATCATATCTAAATTCGGAAGAAAATTGAGTTGAAACAACACTGACAACAGAACATTGAGAATATGACGTCAGTAATTAAAGATATACAACCTTACTTTAAATTGCAATTTGATGACGTCGTAACCTCTGTTAAGTATAAATGAGGCATGAAATCATATCTTCTTTTCACGCCCTTTGAGAATATGCAATAAAATCTGGGGGCCACCTTCCATTCTGAAGAGTTAAAGTACTATCAAATTTGGCTCCAAGCGGGGATCTCTACAACAACCATTATCTGAAACGGGTTTAAAATAGAATAAAGAATCGTGTAAGACATTGGGAATACACTTTTCTTTTAATACCAACCGTTTATTTGACCTTAATTATAAGACAAAACTTAAGTCAATTGAAAACACTCTGAATTGTTGGCGCCCTAGAAATTTATCCCTAGTTAGGAAGATCTGTGTCGTAAAGACCCTATTGTTGCCTCAACTTTTATGTTCTCTGTGTTATGTATTAAGATACCAAAATCTTTTTTAAAAACATTGAATACAATTTGTTATATTAAAGTTCATATGGAATGGAGGCAATGATAGGGTCAAAAGACAATTCATGTGTAATGATTTTTCGTTATGTGGTTCAAAAATGATTGACCCCTATTCACATGCTATTGCTCAGAAAATGTCTTGGGTTAAGATGCAACTAGACGATAATTATATAAGCCTATGGATATTCATTGAGCTTTCTGTTCAATAAAGAAAAGAATATTTTATGAAAGGCTCATGCCCCTGACCAAATTTTGAACAAATTATACTCGAGTCAATTAGCTGATTTCCTTCGAACGTGGTACATTTTTAGAGAAAACTTTGTGAAAGCTGAATTTGATATGGCTTTTTCATCAATTAGATCTTGTCAATGTATTTGGTTTAATAAAAATATTAGCTCAAAATCCAAAAATTATTTTTTGTATCAGGGTTGGAATGATAAAGGTATTATTTTTATAAGTGATTTGCTTAATCCTCCTCACCCTGGTAGCAAACTTTTTGAAGAATTGATACTTGATTACGATATTAATCCTAGGGATAGGAGGAAATACAATTTTCTTATGAAAAATGTTCCTTCTGATTGGTTGGTCTCATCAGATCTTAATCATGATGTAATCTTTGATGCCTTTATCAATACACTTGTGCAAGCTAGGAAGGTTCCCAAATATGCTTATAATGTCATACTAGAGCCACATGTTCCCGAAAAGAAATTAACATTCTGGAAAGAACTTTCTGACCCTAACCCTATAGAATGGGACAAGATTCATATTAATAATTTCAAATGTTCTATAAGCACTCGCATTCGTTCATTTTATTTCAAACTATTTCATAAAGCCATAGCATTAAATAACTTTTTGTTCAAAATTAAACGAAAGAATTCTCCTAATTGTTCATTTTGCGATAATGAACCCGAGACTTACCTACATCTTTTCATCGAATGTCAGACTGTAAAACCCATTTTGGATGATACCATTAAAACTATTAATCAGAAGATTAATAAAGTAGTGAATTTTTCAATATTTGAAAGAATGTTTGGCTATGAAAAGGATATGTTTTTGACGTATTTATTTCTTATTGATTGATTGATTGATACATTTTATTTCAAATTCAGTAAAAAACACTAAAAAACAGGTTATAAACATTTACAATGTACATATAAAATTAACTTAAATATGTGAAACAGAGTAATAACAATTAAATACAAATAGTTGGAAAATGAAAAAGGGTGAAAAATACTACATTTATTTATGCAAATTTCAAAGTAAAATACCCAATTTTCAGGGTTTCAGAACTTACATTGACTATAATAAAGATCTTGAATATCGTATTGCAAAAAAGAAAAACAAACTGCCCTTGCACTTTAAAAAATGGAAGTTTGTCTTATAATCCTGTTTTATAATGTTGTAAATGGTGTAAATTTACTTTTCGTGAGGTTTTGATCTGCGTTTTACTGCTTTTTTGTAATGTTTTTATAATAACTTGAAAATATTGTGATTGTTTTTTTTTATTGTTCAATAAAACACATAAAGAAAAAAAAAAATTGTCAAGAATAGGATCAGGAATCCAAATATTTGTAAAAGCTGGGTTTTTAGCTTTCATAAGTCCAGCGTACGGGAAAATGCGAGCGTATGCGCGTGACCGCAAATTTTTTGGAAAAGGTTGAGAATAGCCTTAAAAATATGCAAACTTAATTTGAGACAATTTTGAGCATTTTCAATTTGTTGAGTGATACGTTGATATGCTGCGCATTAAGTGTCGTGATATAGTATATTAAGTATTATGCCATTTCGTTAATCACTAGATGACGTCACATTATGCAAATGACCTACGTGTGTCTAGGCCTCAATAGGGTCTTATAGGGAAATGTACAGAAAGAAAAAAACTAACAATCCTAACGAATATAAGAGGTGTTATATACAATTGTATATACCTCCTACTAATATCAACCTTTTTTTCTGCCTCTATTCTCTAGGAACCGAGTTTGTCGGGCCATCGAAACGTAACGTCACCGGCATTATCTTCGTCATCCCTTTTGCTCTCGGCAACGTTTGCCTCGCGGGCATCGCCTACTTCGTACCATACTGGAGGACTTTAGAACTAATTTGCGTTTCCCCGGCACTTATCTACATTGGCTTGATGTTGTAAGAGGTTTTACAGAGTCATTACTCTTTTATATCTGTAGTGTTGTGTCTATGCAGGCATTAGATTCTCATAACTCTCATCAGCGTTTAATTGGTTTGGATTACAAGATTCAAAGAGAACCTCATCCCCCCCCCCCCCCCAAAAAAAAAAAAAAAAAAAAAACTTTATATATTCTGAGAGATTCATTAAATCCTACAAGATTCCCCACCAAAGTAATAGAGAGAGGCAAAAAGCAAGAATAATATACAGTAGTATGTGAAATCGTTCATCAGGTTAATGTATTCAAACTCATGGAGGACCCCTTCCTGGGTGTGTTTGGGATGATGAAGCATTTCATTCACCTCCTATTATCCTTTGTACTACAAAAGCCTGAAAACGTAAATTACATAAACAAGTTGGTGCTCTTCTTGGGTAAAGGTTTCTCATGAATGAAAAGTATTTGCCAACTGCTATATATATTTTTTAATGAATTAGTTGCGATTTTTCTCCTGTTATATATTTTGCACCAAATATATTTTCTATCTTCTCAGCCATGATTTTTCCTCATTGAATAGTAAATGATTTCTCACTAAAGCTTGGTGCATAATACATGTACAAATTAAACTGGTACGTCACATTTTCAAGAAAATGGCTGCGCACATGTCATGCTAAAAGGCATTCAAATTCATGATATTCAAGCATACGTTAAATAATTGCATTAGATGTAAGATTGGTTCGAAGAAGAGCATTAATCCCTTTGTTTTGACGCCAACGATTCACGGTTATATTAAACAAAAACACAGGAAATTATACATGTTGTGACAACGCAAGTTTTTTTTGTTTCTCTCCTGTCAGCTTTCTTCCGGAATCAGTGCGTTGGCAAATATCGATGGGAAAGTATGACGAGGCTGAGAAGGCTCTAGTGAAGATTGCCAACTCGAACAACAAGCCCCTTTCAAGTCCATTTTTCAGCAGTGATTTCAAGAAGGAACAAGTAAGGATTTAAATATAAAGACCAGTTCTGGTAATGCGATTGCATTGTGAAAGAGAAAAGTGTATTATGCAGAAATCAATTAACAGGGAAGCGGATCCTCTCAAGCAAGATGATGAAGGGAGGGGGTGGAGCACCAGATGGAGGAAAGAACAGTAGGAGAAGGAAGAGAATATGTAATGACTTTGGCGGTTCCCCTTGCTGTAGAATTAGTTTGGTGGGTTTGTGTGTGTTCGCGCGTGTGTTTGTGTGTGGTGCCAACTTGAAGCAAAGTGAAGATTCAGACGACGCAAAAATAATGTATTTGTTTTCATAACGACTCCAGAGCCCTCTATACACAGGGTTTGGCCAACTTGGTTTCACTGGGTCACAACAAGGCGTATATTATTTTGTTTTGTGCTTGCCCAACAAAGCAGTAGTCGCCATATTTTGTCCAACTCGAACCGGGTTGGCCAAACACTCCTTATCAATGGCACTGAACGGCTCTTGAATGCACCCCTCCCCGGTAAAAGAGTTGACTGGTAATTTCCAATGGTGGTAGGGAGGAAAACAAAACAATTTCCAGTAATTCATCGTTTTTTTTTAAATCTCTGTTTGTCCTAATAAGTACTTGATTTGATGTTATTTATTTTTCCACTCAAATATCCATAAGTTTAAATGAAATATATAAACTATACAGTATAACAATACATAATAAAACAAATAAATTATACAAGTAACGAAATACGTTTGTAATAAAAAAGGTTTACAGAGTACATTTAAGTTTTAGAATAAGAGACAAAATATTTTAAATTGCTTGATAAACTAAGAGGGGAAAAAAGGGAATCTCAGAATAGGTAGGCTTGTTATTCGAGATTAGAATTTAGAATTGCTTCTAGTCACTTTCTCATGACATGCAATTCTGTCACCACAGACATTGCACATATTCATATTGGTTTTCAGATAGACAATCTAATGCTCTGTTACATTTAGGATATGTGTAAATTATTATTACTATAAGTAATAATATTAGTATTATCATTATGATTATAATGAATATCAATTATAGTTAATATTATTTTTATGATTATTATTTTCATTACTATCGTCAATATTATTATCATTAGCATCATCATTATTTTTATTATCTTTATTATTCGTATAGAAGACCGCACCAAAGGAGAGACGAGCTACAGGAATTGATTTATTCCGCCAGCCTCGAATGAGACTACGAACCATCAATCTTATCTTTACCTGGTTTGTCTCATTTAATTTGAACTTCTGATTTAGCCTAAGGCTTAAAATGAATAAAAGGGAATGTTATTAGTAGTAGTAATACATTACATTATCATTATTATTTTTGCTATTGTAATTATCATCAGTATCGATACAGTTGCTAGCTACGATTGCATTAAGCGCTGCCTAGCAATATAGGCCTACTATGTGTTTACAAAGCACTTTATGGCTGTTTTACAGCAGTAGTAAATATTCTGACGCTTGTTATGAATTATAAATTATGATGCAACGTTAACACATGGGCAATGGCTACTATGTGGCTTCTGACATAGTTTTCTCTTCTTCGTGTTGTCCTTCATCAGGATGGTGAATGCAACGGTGTACCACGGTCTATCACTAAACACCTCAAACCTCGGTGTCAACGACTACGTCGCCTTCGCAGTGTCAGGAGCCGTTGAGATCCCCGCTTACCTTCTTGCTGTGGTCGCTGTAGAGATCAAGTTTATTGGACGAAGGATTAGTCTTAGCATGAGCATGTTGGTCGGCGGCGTCGCTTGCCTCTTTACAACCTTCATACGTAAGATAATTACATTTTCATTGATTGAATTTTTGCTTAAAGGGATTGTTTAACAATGTTAAATCTGAGATGCACAGCCCTACTTATTATCAATGTCTGCGATATGGTGTAATATTGAAACCTAACAAAATTGCGCTTAAAATGATCAAGAAGTGCCTCAAATAAGTAATAATCTTTGAGTGACCGGTTTTACCATACTCGTTTTCCCCAATAGACTGGAGTGTTATGAAAACCCTTTTACATACGGTTTTCAAAATTTGTAATTTCAATCATAAATATCTTGATAATCAGACAGGCGATTGGCTTGTAAAAGTCATGGGGTTCCTGACTGACCTAAAGGATGATTGCAGCATGAGCTAAATCCAGAATTTAGTTTCAGAATGTGACACAAATTTACCGGATCCCTTTAAGGTTCTGACATCAGTCATTCTCCTGTCCTCCTTACCTAGCCCTATCCCTTTATTTCTCTCTCTCTCTCTCCCTCTCTACCTCTCTCTCTCTCTCTCTCCGCCCCTCTCTCTCTCTCTCTCTCTCTCTCTCTTTTCCCCCTGCCTCTACCCTCAACAAATCTGAATCGATCAAAGCAATCGTGAAAACAGTGGCAGCTCATGTATTTAAAAGATAAGGACAGCTAATTGTATGCTATCGCAGTTGACAACCAAAATAGATTAACGTCGACGCCCCTTTCCCATAAGTATGTACCATATGTACATAACAGCTGCAAGAAAGATGACAATATCATTTTAACAACATTTTTTCATTCACCCATTTATCTGAACTTGAACAAAAGTCTGCCAATACCCCTTCAGCGATCACTTCCAACAACTTATTTATTTATTTATTTCTATTCCTCTTTTTTGTTTTCTTTCTTTCTGTTTATAATATAGCACCCGGAGCAGCACTTACATCAGTTGCAATGATTGGTAAATTTGGAATTTCGGCATCTTTTGCCATCCTGTATCTCTACACCGCGGAGCTGTACCCAACCAATATCAGGTAAAGCTTGCGTACATATACGCGGTTTTCAAAATAGTGTACTCAATTAATTTCGTTGGCACGGTTAAAGATATTAATAACATCAGCTGATTATAAAATAAAATGATTATAACAAATATTGAAAATTGAATAAAAATGAATGAATAATTGAATAAATGAATGAATAAATGAAAGAATAGATAATAAATAAATAAGTATACTAAGCCAAACCATTCCAGTTAATGCTTTATCCGAAATTATTTACAACTCGAAGAAATAATTAGGTAAAATTGCCTGGAACATCACGGAATTGCAACTAACAATAAGACAGTAATGTTGATACCATTAAGATTTTTTAATACGGTAGACTGAGAAAAACACTTTTCTGTTCGGATGTTTGAGCAATTGAAGGTTCCAAAGGGCAATTTTGACATTCAAAATGGTTTCAAGTCACTTTATTTATTCTATTCATTTGGAAACTTCATGAATATGGCTACTTCAAAAAGACGTCGATATAAGTATATTCATTTCATATGACATCATCTCCTTGAGAAACATAGGAGCGTGGCCATGGGAACCTGCTCGATGTTTGCACGTGTCGCCGGCATCTTGGCGCCCCTTATACTCACACTGGCCAGGATTTGGACTCCACTACCCCTCGTCATCTACGGGTCCGTCTCAGTGATCGCTGGCCTCCTGACTCTCTTCCTCCCCGAAACATTAGGCCAGAAGCTCCCCGAAACGATCGAAGAAGGCGAAAATTATGGAATGTATGTAAACTATTGTTCTAGCTAATCTATTCACACACCCATCTCTCACTTTCTCTCTTTCTCTCCTGCCTGCATGCTTCATTCCCTCCTCCTACCCTCCATCTCACTTCTCCCTCCCCCTACTTCCTCTAGCCTCCCAATCCCCAACCCCTTCCGCAATCCCCACCCCTGTTCCTCCTCTCCCCAACTCCCTCCATCCGCTGTTATTACTTATTTCAATGACAATGCAAATTATTAATTCCTTTTCTTTAACTGCCGCGCACTCTATCTTTAACAAATAATGAGATTATCTTGGTGTGTATTATTTCTAGAAAATGATATACTTTCTTTTTTAGTAGTTGATAAGTTCTGCATTTTATGATTCACTTATATACAAAGAGAATCACTCAAGAAACCGAAAAGAGGGCAAATCTATTTGACTATGTTTAAACCGTGTTTGATATAACTCCTATCAAACAAGCTTTACTTCTGGATGGTATTTCGCAACGTCCCATTAGCAACCAATCGAGAAGGGATTGGGAGTGCACATTTGCGTTCATAGTCCTAGATCGTTGCTTTTATTTTGCTTTTGGAAGAAGATGGATACTTGAAGTTTGTGTGTTTTATCGTTTATAGTGCTCTAAAGATCGCTTGATTTATGTTCCAGTCCTCGATGGAGTGTAAAATTAAGGAATATTCAAAAATGTTGGTAGGGGTAGAGTATCATATATAATTATACTGAGGAACGTATATTACCCTATAACGCTACACCAAACCTAAAACACACACTTCAACTCTTAACCCTCTACACCTTTGATATCCCGGAGCAATTTATTGTTGTAGTAGCAAATGTTGAATCGCCCATATGTGTAACGCTGTGATCTTGTTATCTTCACACAGGGAATCTGACGAGAAGAACACCCTTTCCGGTAAAGATGGCGTCTACATTCGCTGCCAGGATGATGAAGAGGTCACCATCATAGATTAATTTAATTCTTTATTTAATTTTCAAGATGAGAATGACCTCGGCAAACGGGAGAATGACGTGCGAGACGATCTACCTGAATAACCCTAGAAAAAGTACTTTTGCCAAAAAGCGTTGTACAAAACGATAAATCGGAATGAAGAAGTACTGTAAACATTTAGCAAACACATTCGATAATTAAACGTAATGGGAATGTCAATATCATATTGTGCGTCCAACATATATCATGTTTTGGGTGATGTGATACGTTATTGTCATGTTGGCTGCAATGTTTACACATTTTGAATAAATGACGGAGGAGCTTATCAAAATTGCTCATAAACAGTTGTATTAGGGTTTTTTTCGACAGTCTTTGCAGTTGTCTGTGTCTATTGATATTGCACTGTTACGCTGTTGCTATTGAGGGAACACCATCTTTGCATGAATTTTTAGATCCCATTCCCTCACATTGTTTAACTAGAGTTGTTAACCTCTCGATGAAAATCAGTTTCTTTCCCCCACAGTAGAATTATATTCATACGAATTTTAAATTGGATAATTTCCATTGGCTGAAACAAAACATGGAAGGCTGAAACTATGCTAAACACAGCGATTAGCAGTGTGGAAATACTCTTCAGATCATAGAATTCATGTCCTTCTCCCCGAACAAAAATTTGTGAATTAAAGTTTACTCTCGTAGAATCCAAACAAAGATGGCATAATTGCCACAGTACAAGAACCGATCGACCGACCACCTTGTTGACAAGGGGAAAACGTATTATCTCTCCTTTTCTCTCTCTCACTCCTCTCTCTCTCTCTCTATCTCTCTCTCTAACTCTCTCTCACTCTCTCTCTCGTTATCTCTCTCTCTCTCTCTATCTCTCTTTTTTTTTATCTCTCTCTATCTCTTGGGTATCAATAATCTCTTATCTATACTGACGTGTTATGGCCCTTTATAGCAATAGCAGTATTCTGTAAACAATTTTGTTAGACACTATAATATTTATTACTTATTTATCATAAACTCGTTCAAAGTATAACGTATCGTGATAATACAAAACGTGGCGAAGATGGGATGCACCCCCACCCCAAACCGAATTATAAAGAAAAAAACATTTTGAAAATCACCACCATATATTCGGTCACTGTGTGCACTTTCTTGTTTTTTTTTAGACAATTTATTCGATGACAAACTTAAATGTTTTACTATAGATAAACAAAATTTTGCTCGCTTGATTTATTCGCTGGCCAAAATTAAAAACTCGAGAGAGAGAGAGAGAGAGACCCTTACGAGATATGGTGTATATGCGCTTTTGCCAGTGTTCTTTTTTTCCCACCTAAAGTTTAGTTCAACATTGAGATAATGGTCATATATTTCATGTGAGTATATAAATGTCCTAGGGAGGGAAAAGGTGATGGCGTAAATAAAGTTTTACCTTTATTGATTTTGGTACATTTCAGCATTACGACTATTACATGGTAAGGCTATTGAACACCATTTTGACCTTTGTATTTATGATTTACTTGTCAGCTGAAGTGTATCAGTACGTATTATTGGCATATATTTTTCTGTATTCTCTTGCAATGTACTTTGTTATACACCCATTTGTATAAAGAAACAAGCGATTTAACCAGGGCTGTTTTTGTTTTTTAATTTTTGGAAGGTATAAATTAATATAAATTTACGCTTTCATATTTTGTTCATTACAAACGTTCTCGAAACGACTGTCCTAACGCAAAAGTATCTCAATATCACTTAATGAAATTAGTGTATAAATAATGATGCAATGATGAAGTACAAAGTCAACAACAAAATTGTACAGAGTGTGATTTTTTACAAGAGTTATATTGGATGCCTATACTTTGAATAATTACGGATATTAGTGAACTAGTGAATGATTGAGGAGATGGGCGAGAGATAGAAAGATAAAGAGACACAGAAAGAACACAAGAGCGAAGGAAGAAAATAATGAATGAACAAATCTATAACTTAATAAATGCATGAATGTATAAATAAATCGATAAATGAATAAAGGTAAGAAAGAACGTATGCCTGCAGGGGCGGTGATACCGGGGTTAGGAGTACGTTTCCCCCATGACAATCTTAAGGAGGATCTTTAGGTAATATTTTGGTGAAGTAGGTCATTGTTCTTTATAAAGCCTCATCGTTAGGTAATTATGGATATAAGAAGTTGACGTGTAGTAAGGTAGGATGTAAGGGTCATTTGAACTTATTAATTTATGGACATCCACCCCCGGATAACCACCTCTAGTCAACTACCCCTTAGGACAAGTACCCCCTAGCGCAACCACCCTTTAGGACGACTACCCTGCGGGACAACTACCCCGGACATCTACCTCTAGACAACTACCCCCTAGGACAACTATCCCCCAGACAACTATCCCCCAGACAACTAACCCCAGACAACTACCCCCTACGACAACCATCCTCTAGGACAACTAACCCCCGGAAAACTATCCTAGGGGGTAATTATCCAGGGGGAAGTTGTCCTAGGGGGTAGTTATCTGGGTGTTAGTTGTCCGGGGGTATTGTCACGGGGTGAAGTCGTCTTACAGGGTGGTTGCCCTAGGGGTACTTTTCATAGGGGGTAGGGGTCCTGATACACAACTTTGCACACTTCAGAGCACTGAGTTAATGTGATCTTAGTATTCATAATTTTTTTTTTTTTTTTTTTTTTTTTTTTTTTTTTTTTTTTTTTTTTTACTTGTAATGAGGTTTATGCACAGCTTCAAATCTAAACACGTTCAAGTGAGTGGGCGTCACTATCGAATTCCTTCAACCGCCGAGCCCTTATTTTTATTAGGCCACTTCTATAAACCCGATGACATTCTCTTTTTTTATGTTACTAAGCTCATAATAATTAGCTTCATAAAATGCTGGTTGAACCTGAAAAGGGGAGGCTAGTTTGGTCATTACCTTTATCGCGTTATTGGGTCGCAAAACGAAATTAGTAAATACTATAAACGGTAAATCCACACATATTTTAAATGGTTCAGTTGTTCAATAAAAGTGAAATGAGAACTAGAAGGACGTTATTGTAGAGCAACAAAGTCCATGCGTCCTTCTGGAGCTTGGCACTATGCCAGAAGAGGTAACGCAATTTCAAATCACTGTAAAGAAACTTCATGAACTTGTTCATGTTCATTTCGCAAATTACTGCAGGAATATAGTAAGCCTACAACTCTCTGTTACAACGGATCGCCACCCTACAACGTTGTCACTGTACTTTATTTTCTGGATTCTTCTTTGAAGACAAATTTGTGTCGTGTTCATTACTGACTTAATCCCCATCGTCAATCATGATTAGGCTGGATGATATTTTGGTGCAGATCGGCGAGTTCGGGCCTTATCAGAAAAAGGTTTTCGCCATTGTCTGTATGATTGGTTTCACCGCTTCATGGCAATCAATGATCGTCGTTTTCCTAGCCGCATCCGTGGACCACTGGTGTGCGGTGAGTATTGATGTTAATTTTTAAAGGGCAACCCAACCTTATAATAATGTAGCGAAGTAGAGATACCCCCCCCCCTTTAAACCAGATAACCCCCCCCCCCCCTCTCTCTCTCTCTCTCTCTCCTATTTCATCTTCCTCTCTACTGGAGGTCAACAAATTATAGTAAGATGAAACCTGGTCATTTCCACTTGTCCAAATATTCCCAGAATAGGATGTTTGTAGATAATGAGAATGCCCTTTATGTTATTGGAGTTTAGGTCCATTCACATGAAGGAAAAGATAGGATTTAATCTGTTCGCATGGGACTTTGACTGCTTCATGAAAAATTTCTAGAATTTCAAAAGGTTTAATAAGATTAATAAACATAGTTTCAGAATTATCTTGACCAGGTAGAAAATTAGAGAAATGTGTAGAAGTATCAGGTAAAGTACTTTCAATTTCAGATGCAATTCTACTAAAATATTCATTGCATGTATTAACTACTTCTTGACCGTCATAGACACATATTCCATGTTTTTCAATAAAATCGACTTGTACCTTTCCACGAACTGAAGAAAGTAATTCATGTATGATTTTCTAAGTTGCTTCAGTATTATTTGAACATCCTCAAATGATTTACAGTAATAATCCCTCATGCATTTACGTATTGCACAGGTGACATTATTTCTCATTTGAATATACACTTATTTCCGGTATAAGCTTGGATTTGTTATATATTTCTGATACGTTATAGTCTTCTTTTTGCACAATTTTTTTGAAGTTTGGAGGTAAACCAAGGCTTAGAAATAGATTTATTCTTACGTTGGGTAAATATTTGTTAAAGTTGTCATTCGAGATACGCATTTAACAATCAAATTCACTATCGACATCCTTATATATGTATGCAAATCCTAATTTATTACTATTAGCATTTCACACAATTTGGCAATTGTTATTATCATTGACGTCACGTTTTTTTAACAGTTTTATATTCGTTTAAATCGTCCGCAACTGGAAGTTTGCGAGCTGTTAAATCAGATCTGGACTAGCCTATGAACAAAGTACCATTGTACAAGGAAGGATAGTGAATAAAATCAGCATTACAATTTAATAAGAAATTACGTTGGTGTACCTGTGGCAGTATTTACATGTACATCAATAACAATTCCTTATGTACGCTAGCTTACATGGTTTGTTATAATCCCTGAATTTTACCAATTGATATTGTTTATATATTTGTTTGTATATTAATTTGTTCGTGTGTTTGTTAGTTTTTAACTCAATTTGTTTTTATATTTTTCTCGAAATAAGTAACTAATCCTTTCATTCGATACCAGGTGCCGCAATGGGACGATTTCGACTGCAGCGCCACCGGTCTCAGCGAAGAAACATGCATGCTCGCCATGAAGAACGCAAGCATCCCTGCCAACTACACGAGCGGCCACCAACTCGTCTTTGAGCAATGCGTGAAATACAACGTGTCTGGGGAGGCATTCAATCCGGAAATCGACCCGTTCCACGACCCCGGCTGGCCGACATCGCAAGTCATTGAATGCGACAGCGGATGGGTGTACGACACAAGTCAATACAAATCGTCCATAATAACGGATGTAAGCTACTTCCCTAATATATAAACCCAAACGCGCACAAGTGGCATACTGAATGTATTAAGAGAGGGGAGTATACTTGTAAGATTATTTTTACAGCGGCATCTTTTCAATTATAAATGATCTCCCTTAAAATTAACTTTGCTCAATATTTTGTTTCAACAGAATGTTTGAAGATTTTTTCCTCTCTAACATATCTAACACGTCCTGTTTATATATATAACCCTACATGGTACATTAAAGATAAAGACCAGTTATGGTCATGCGTTTGCATTGTGAAAGAAACGTTG